TTTTGCCATACTTTATTTGCATTCCATCATTAATCACACCTGCTCACTCAATACATTTTAATTGTACATTAAAATCAATTTAAAGTCATATGCCAATTTCAAGAAAAAAATGTAGGAATCATATGCTTTCCTATGCATGACATTTGCTAGTAAGTCACAAAACAACTGGAGGCTAAAATGAAGAAAGTTTTTGAAGTAGCATAAGGAAAGCTCACAGTGAAGGACAACAGTTTTATTTTTATAAAGCATATAAAAATGCAGAAATATGTTGTTTTTAAAAATAAGAGTTTGCTCATTTTCCCAAGGGTCAATGAGGTTCATTTCTCCAGGTGATTTACTTATGTAAATCCTGAGAATTCAAATGAGAATCAGAATTTTGCTTTTTTTTTTTTTAAACACAGGCTTGAACTCTCGATCCTGAGATCAAGACCTGAGCTGAGATCAAGAGTCGGACATTTAACCCAGTGAGCCACCCGGATGTCCCTAGAATCAGAATTTTGAAACTTAGAACTCTCTTGTTTTTTATACATAAGAAAACACAAGTTTAAAATGAAATGGAAAATGTAAACTACCTAAGGCAGTACTTAACACATGGTAAATAAGCAATAAATAGTTCTGTCACTCTTCTGCTTGCCTTGTCAATGGTCAAATGACTAGCCAGTGGCTTATCTGTATGGTTTGTAACATTACTGAACAAGAGGTAGCCTAATTCAATATTTTATATCAAGTATGCCATTTCACAAAGTTGTGGGTAAACTTTTCAATTCACCTATTTTTAATTAAAGTCAGTGTGTATGTATATGCCCTGTGGGCTCAGTCAGGACCACTGCCTGGGAGAGAGCCGCTCATATCATTGGGCCTTCTCAGACACTCCCAGCCATACTCCCATTCTAGTGTTTCAGAATCTCCCACATTCCTAGTGAAATCTGTAGAAATGGAAATCTTTTTTGCTCTGTTTTCACCACCCTCCAACCCTATGGATATAAATTAGTGCAAAAACAGCTAACATCTGCTAAATGACAATTATGTGTCCTCGCTGTGCTAAACTAAAGCCTTACCCAGTTTAATCCTAACAGCTACCCTATAAGGTGAGTTCTAGTCCTATTAGGAAAATTTACCCAAGTGGGGCCCAGAGAGTGAGATGCTGAAGTGTTGTGAGGTGAAGGTCACTGGACATATATAGCCAAGGAAGTAGGAAGCCTGGATGTTGTATGGATCATATGCAGAAGTGGATGAGGAAGTCACTCGGGATGATATAAAGATCTGCAGTAGAGATGGAGACCATGAGCAGGTGGTAAGTCTTCAGTGACCAAGAGGCTTATACAGAAGTTCAGTGAGTAGCAAAGAATAAAATGGTTGGGTCAGAGGGTAGATGGCATGGACCTCAATGAAGCGGTTAATTAGAAAGGAGAAAGAGGAGGGACTTCAGCCCTGAGAGGGCTGCAAGGAGGCTCTTCAGAGGATAGCTGCTTCAGTAAGAAGCAAGGCTCTATGAAGAGGTTTAAGTGCTGAGAAAGGTTGTTAACCACAGAATAAAAGTTCCAGAGGTGACAGAGGGTTCAGGGAGAAGGAAACCTTTCTTCCTGCTACTTTACTATTCTTCCTCAAAGAATAAGAGCACTGATATAGATAAAAAACGATTAGTTCCAGTGCTAAAACAGGGGAGTTTTGCTGGGAGGAGTAAAAGGATTATAACTCCAACAAATGCACATTTCTTTCTGCTTGGTAAACTCCAAACCGGTTTTCTAGGCCCTGTCCCCCACCCTTGCCCTTAGAAGGTCCTGTAGGAAACAGGGTGGAGTCCAGAGGAAAAGAGACAGGGCTGTGGCAGCTTAAATCTGCCTATAATCTAGGTAAGTATTTCTTATCCTGAAATCCATAAACTCCTACAGGTCTGAGTATCTTTTGTGAGAATTTCCTAATTTTGTGTTTTCCTTTTAAAGATAATCTGAAGACAAATAGCATAAGCAACCAGACAGCCACCTTATAACTAAGGCCTAATATTTATTTCAATGTCCCTGTGTAATCCAGTAATCAAGCATCAAAATGATACCACTTTGTTGAAGGCTACTGAAAAACAAAAAACAGAGGTTCACCTCATAGGCAATAATGTATTTTTTGTTAAGTAAAATCCAGTGACATCAGAGCCCACATATATATAACAGTTTTCACAGTATTCATACAAAATAGAAAGTGGGGGAGAACTGGGCAAACACGTGATAATTTCAGAATGTTTAACTCAAACAAATGTACCTATCAGTAGAATATTCATAAGAAAATGAAAATTTAGTTTTAGCCAAACACTATTAGTTATCTCATTAAATAAATGTTATTAATTAGAATTTTGGTGGTTTTTATAATCTTTAATTTACATACCTGTTAGGATCTATGGTTGTATAAGAGCTATAAGCATAATGATTTTATACTTTCTTTATATTTATAAATATATCTAAGTAACTATGACAAAAATGATTTAACTCAATCCTTAGGAGTACAAGAATTGTTTTTCTTTAAAAGATAATATATAGGCCTATATTTTCAAGTTTTGAGATCCACTAGTCTGGATTGTGTTCAAGGCAACAAGACCAAGACTCACCTGTAGTTCAGCACAACTTCCCTCATCACAGAAGGGAATAAGATGGGGATCTAGGACCAAAGCCCCAGGTCAAGTGTAATCTGTGTTGTATACCTTCTACGTCTATAACATGTATCACTAGCAGAGGAAGGTGGTAAAGTATTGAGCAATTCAGGATCCTAGCCCTCTCACTTTCCTCAGAGACACAACCAACAACAAGGTACATGCATACATGGAATTACTCAAGGTTAGAAATTTCCTCCATTGTGACAAACCCCACAGTTAAATTCAGTCTTCATCTTACAAGATCTCTCAGCAGATATCTCAGTTCTATATGATAACTACCTCCTTGAAATACTTGACTCAAATTGGCTCCCAAGAGACCTTACTCTTCTGATTTCCCTTCTACTTCATTAACTGCTTCCTTTTAGTCTCCTATGTTGGCTCTTTCCTGACCTCAAAATGTTGCAATGATTCACAACTCAGTCCTCAGACCAACTCAGTCCTCAGACCCCTCTACCTAGGGGATTTTGCCCAATAAAAAGCTTTACCGATACAATGCTGATGATGTACATCTCTAACCCTTGAGATTTAGATTTATCTAAATTTAGATTTAGATTATCTCCTTGAGATTTAGACTCAAATACAAAACTACTACTTGCTATATCCACCTGGATGTCTCTAAGGAACCTCAAATGTCCAAACCAAGAACTCTCGATAATCACTCACCCCACTTCACTACTCTCCAATTCTGCCTGATCTTAGCAAATGGCACCACCAACCAACCAGTTGTTCAAACCAAAATTCCTGGAATCATTCTTGAATTCTTCCTTTACCTCACACTCCAGATCGAATTAATCAATTTGTCCTGTCAGCACTATTTTCCAAATGCTTCTCTGCAGTAGATGCTGTGGTGCATTGCCCACATTCTCAGGACTGACAGTAGCTGGGAGTACTGGTGACTAACAGTTCTCAGTTGAGCTCCTCCTTCATGCTTCTCTAGGCTGAAAAGACTCACCTTGCCTAAAGTCACTCCCTGGAGGCAGCCAATGTTCAATAAGTAGGGGAGGGGGCATAAGAGACGGGTAGGTAATAAAGCCCTGGCGCTCTTGCCTCAAGGAAGGACAACTCTTAAAGAACTACCCCAGATGCAAAGCTCCTTTTGAATTGTCTGAAGCTTCTGTTGCAATTCTATCACAGCTCAACTTCCCCCTCTGTCCAATCCTGCTGTCCAATCCTGATATAGTGACAGAAAATAAGTGGTTTTCTTCCAAGTGGCAGGTTGGAGATGATACCTTTTGAGAATGAGATACCATTCTCTAAGACATAGTGTATACCTTAAATCAGTACTCATGCTAATATACCTATATCCCTACCATTCTTCTCTGATTCCTACCCTACTCTCTCAGGTTTCTTCTCTGATATCCCTTCTCAAGTAAGCAGGAGCCAGAGATACTTGATAGGCTGAGGTCCAGTGTCGTGGAGTTCTGGACTAAGTAGAAGGAAGTAAAGCAGAGCAGGAAGACAGAGGTATGAGATAAAGAGATAATAATCAAATCAGAGCAATTGGTTCTGGAGCACAGACCCTTAAGGAATTTCCTGACCCATGGGAATATTCTGGACTTCTAACACACATCTCACCAGAGAGCTGAAACAAGTGGGGAGATCATCTGAGGACTGGTTAGCACTAATAGAGGGGAAACATGATTGTTTTCTCTTGGTATTTTGAAACTTTCACCTAACCAGTATTTAAATAATCAAGACTGGTCCAGAGAAGGAAGACATCCCTAATCTAGGCAAGGCACTAAATCAGTCAGCTGAAGCGTAAACCCACGGATCTAGGTCTGATTTCCCCCAAGACATTTGGTGTCGATTTAAGAATGAGAAGAGGGACGCCCGAATGGTTCAGTCGGTTAAGCAACGCAACGCTGGGATTCTCTCTCTCCCCCTCTCTCTCTGCCCCGGCCTCGCAAAATAAATAAACTTTAAGACAAAGAGAGAGCAGCTCTGGGGACCTATCTGCTCTTGTCTTTTATGCAAGACCCTGAAGCGTGAACCTAGGCTGTGAACATCCTGGGAAAGGAGAAAGTCTCTTCTACGAATTCACAAAGGCTAACACAGCCCCTGAAATTCTGTGCGGGTTCAGTAAATGTTGAGTCACTAGACACCCACTCAGCATCTCCCAAAAAGTCCAGGAGAAGGCTCTGGTCATTGTGGAAAGTGACTGTTGTAAGGAAGCCTAGAACGTGTTTAGCTGGGCTGGGCTCCGTTATTCTGCGTTGCGGGTGAGAGGGGGCGCTCACGGAAGAGAATCCCACCCTTCCAACATGGTTCCTGGAAAGAAGTTTTGCAAAGAGCAAGTGTGACTTTAACCTCCGCCCAACGTCTCCCACACTCCTGGTGCCACGTTCCCTTGGTCACTCACCTCCTCCGAGTTCTGGCCGGACGATAAACCCCAGTTTTTCAGCCCCTCCTGGAGCTCGACGATGTCCACCAACCCGTCCCCGTCGCTGTCCAGGGCTTGGAAAAGCATCTCGTACCTTAAGTCATCTTCGCCTTTCTGCCAGGCCACCCCCGGCAGCACGAAGCCCCGAAGCCAGCGCAGCATGGCCCGGGCGGGAAGGCGGGGGCCGTTCGGCCGCCTCTCCTCCCGGCCGGATGAGGGCCACCGGCCCGCCCCGCCCCCACCCCCGCTTCCGGCTGCGCCACCTGCCGCCGCCTCGACGACGCCCGCCTGCGTGGGGCTTCGGAGACAACGGCTCGACGGGGCCTCCGGGGCGAGCCCGCCCACACCGCTGGGCTCTCGGGCGCCGCTGGGAGCAAGTTCGGAGGACCACCTCGTGGGAAACCGGGCCCAGGCGCCTCGCGAGGGTCGCTACGCCCCAAAAGTTGCAGGTTGAGGCACCAAACGTGGCGGCAACCTGCACCCAGGACTTCCCCGGGCCCACGAGCGACCCGGGAGCCCAGGAAAGTTTAAGCAGAAGCAGAGAGGGCGCGCGTTCCCCTTGCGGCGTCGAAAGAGCTTCCGGGTGTTTCCTAGCTCAAACTGAGCGGCTCCTCAGGTGAGTGCTCCGACCTGCGCCTCGCCTCTGACGGGAGCATCTCGTGCCCCCGCGCCACCCCTCCTTCTGGGGGCGTCTGAAGAGGGCAGCCCTCCCAGAGGGGCCTCCACGCTTGGTTCCAGTCTCCCTCCTCCCAGCCCACTCCCAGGGACGTTGGGGTTGCTTCCGGGAGCCCCCTCTTCCTCACCTCCAGCTTTCTCCCAGACACCCCCCCCCCCGCAGCCTTGCAGCCTCACCGCAGCTCCCACCACCTACCTCTACAGAACTCCCTTCACACAGAAGCCGAAGGACACTTTCAAATCCTTGTCCTATTTAATGTTGGTCCTGTTCAGACACTGCTGACCACACCCTTTTCCTTTGTTTTGTGGGACGCCACACATTTCTGCCCCTCCTCAGCCTCTTTTACAGGCTCCCAAAAAGGAGCCTGAGATCTTCTAAAATTGAGGCACTAGACAATGGCAGTAGACAGGGTTGAGGGATTATGTAAAAACCGAGTTCATTGCATTGTGCATTGCACAATTCATTGCACTGAAGCTTTGTGTCCTCAATCTCTGGTCACATCTTTTGAAAGTCAGTGGTACAGTCTCACGACAGGCCCAGACCAGTGTTTTAAAAAGTAATTTTTCATGTAAAATCCTAAATCTTGGACCACAGAATAAAGTTCACTTATTTCTTTAAATAATGCTATTAGATATACTTTACGATGTCATTTATTTCATATAAATTTTATACTATTTTGTTAAATGCTAGATAAAAATAAGAACATTGGGGCGCCCGGGTGGCTCAATGGGTTGAGCGTCCAACTTTGGCTCAGGTCATGATCTCACAGTTCTCAAGCCCCACGTGGGGCTCTGTGCTGACAGCTCGGACCTGGGGCCTGCTTCAGATTCTGTGCCTCCCTCTCTCTCTCTGTCCCATCCCCACTCATGCTCTGTCTCTCTCTCTCTTAAAAATAAATAAGACATTAAAAAAATTTTTTTAAAAAAACAAAACAATATTGGACCTGCTAACATAGAAGCTCACCATCTAGTGTGCTCTGGGTCTGTAAACAAATAAAGTCAACTTAAGTGCTATAATAAAAATGTGACCAAATGTCATGAAATATGTATTATTTAAATGAATGGGTTTTAGGAATTAATAATAAACAGAAAGCTATTTATACAACTTATACAAAATATTGTAAGTGCTGACATTTATAAATATAAAAGACTTCTTTAAAAGATCATTAACTGTCAAAAGCAAATATACTAATATATTGTGAAGCTTATAACATGTAAAAGTAAAATGTATGACAGCAATTGTAAAAAGGATGGGAGAGAGGACGTGGAAGTCTACTGCTAATAAGTTCTTGCATTATATGTGAAGTAGTATAAATTTAAAAATGTATGTGGGAAAGGGGACCTGAGTGGCTCAGTCGGTTAAGCATCCAGCTCTTGTTTTAGGCTCAGGTCATGATCTCACGGTTCCTGGATTGGAGCGCCTACATGGGGCTCCACACTATCCATGCATGGCCTGCTTGGAATTCTCTCTTGCTCCCTCTCTCTGCCCCTCCCCCACTCGGTCTCTCGGTCTCTCGGTCTCTCTCTCTCTCTCTCTCCCTCAGAATGCTTTTTTTTTTTTAACTTTAAAAAGTAAAATAAAATAGTATAAAAATGTATGCAGGAAACCCCAAGGCAACCATTAAAACAAAACAAAACAAAAAACCATGGAATTATAGCTAACAAAACAATAAAAAGAGATAAAATAGAATACTAAAAAGTACTGTATTAGTCCAAAAGAATGTAAGAGGAAAAGAGAAAAAAGAATAGTTGGTACAAACAAAACAAATAAGATACCCTTAAAGTTAACTGATATATAATTACATTAAACATAATATTCTATACACTCCAAGTAAAAGGCAGAACAAGCAAGACCTGTATATATACTTTTTACAAAAGTGAAATATAATATACGTATAGGCTTAAAGTAAAAGGGTAGATAAGGAAATCCCATGTGAACATTAATTATGAGGAAGCTGGCATAGCTATATTAATATCAGCCAAGGAAGACTTCAAGACAAGGAAGATATTTTATAATGTTAGGAGGATTGTTTCAAGATGGCATAACAACCATACTGTATATGCGCCTAATAACAAAGCTTTAAAATATATGAAGCAAAAATGGATGGACTGCAAAGAGAAATAGACAGATCCACAATTGGAGTCAGAAATGTCAGTAGCCTTCTCACAGCAGTTGATAAAATAGGAAACAAAGTCAATAATGGTATAAAGACTTCAATAACATGATTAACTAATTGATATTAATAGAGCAATATACCCAGCAACAGCAGAATACCCATTATTTTTACCTACACGTGTAGAGTTTGCTGACAAAGACCATATGTCAACAGATTTGACAGCCTAGATAAAATGAGAACATTCCTTCAAAAACATATTATGAAAGTTGACAAAAGAATAAATAGTAAATCTGAATAGCCATCTACATAAAACTAACATGAACATTCGTACTTAATGTTGAAAGACTAAATATTTTCTCCCACTAAGATGGGAAATAAGGCAAGAATGACCATTCTTACCCCTTCTAGTCAGTATTGTACTAGATGTCTTAGCAAATGCAATAAGAAAAGAAAAAGGAAAAACATACATATTGGAAAGAGGCAAGTCAAACTTTATTTGTTCTCAGATGACATGATCATTTACATAAAAAATCCTAAGGAATCTACAAAAAAAGCTACTTGTATTGATAAGTGAATTTAGCAAGGTTGCCAGATACAAGGTCAATATAAAAAGAGGAAGTAAGACAGCTTCCTTTTGCTGTTTCAGCTGGCACGCAGGGTTATGAATAATAGGGTTTAGACCAGTTTTTGTGCCTGGACTCAGCATTCCAATACTTACTAATTTCACTCATGTCTTGAAGCCGATTTGATGGTAGTGGTAGCTATACCCACTTTCTGATCTCTGAATTGCAGCTATGTTCAATTCATTAGTCTAGTTCAGGGATCATCTTTATTTTTTCTACATAGGACTAGATGGTAAATATTTGAGGCTTTATAGACCACATATGGTCTCTGTTTATTATTTTTGGTTTGTTTTTACTGCACTAACCACGAAAGGAAACTGAGAAATTGGGCCTCATCAACCTTTAAAACATCTGTTCATCAAAAGACACAATTAAGATACTTGATATTCAATGCCCAGACTGAAAAAGTTATTCGTAATACACACAGCTAACAAATAACTCCTATACAGAATTTTTAAGAACTCCTACAAATCAGTAAGAAAAAGGGAAACAATCAAATTAAAAGTTTAGCAATTAGAAAAAAGACTTGAACAGGCATTTCACAAGAAAGAATATCCAATGGCTTCTTAATTTATGTGTTAACAATGGTGGGGTTTAACTGGATTCCAGTTAACTTAAAACAGGCTTTTGCTATGTTTTTAACTCTTGAAAGTCTGTGGTTATGATAAATCTTAAATAGTAATTTATTGCCCTAATAACAGATTGACTTCTCTGTTTTCTGAAATGTAAAGTACTTGTTCAAGCTTCCTTGTTTCTTTAATAATTCAGAAGAGACCTTTGGAAGTCCCTCCATCCTTTCTTCATAAAGATATAAAAATCTCTAACATGATAGAATATTTATTAAAATAAGTTTAAGAATCTATTTCCCATTTGAATTAACTGCCCACCAGAAGATTAAATAAATATACTTACTTACATTTATGTATGTGATAGAATACCACATAGGAGTAAACATGAATGAAATAGTTATGTCAATAAATGTAACAGTGTTAAATTAAAAGCAAGCTTTAGAAAATATATACAAAATATAGTTATGAAAAATATTTATGAATATACTTACATAGAAAAAATTTTAAATGTGCATAAGAATGAAACACACCAGGGGTGCCTGGATGGCTCAGTTGGTTAAGCGTCTGACTTCAGCTCAGGTCATGATCTTACAATTCGGTACGTGAGTTTGTCTGGTTCTGTGCTGACAATCAGAGCCTGGAGCCTGCTTCAGATTCTTTGTTTCCTTCTTTCTATGCTCCTTCCCCACTCATGCTCTGTCTCTCAAAAATAAATAAACGTTAAAAAAAATTAACAATGAAACACACCAACTTCAGGATAGAGATTACTTCTCAGGAGGGAAGAAAAGAAAGGTAGTGTTTGAAGCACAAAGGTAGTATCTGAAGTCAAACAGTATGGGGAGTGCATACCTGATTTATTTCTTTGTGAAATGCTACATATTTAATTTTTAAATATATTTATATATCTGTATATGTATATATGTTTAATGACATATATAAAGACAGAACCAGTTTACTCTTTTTTTAGTCAAACTGACAAAAACTGGTCACGGAAGCATTTAATAAATGATAGAGATTAATTCAGTTATAATTGTTCCCTTCCCAAATATCCATGTTTTTATATTACTTTCAGAAATGCTCCACAATTTAAAATGATGTTTGAGGGGTTCCTGGGTGGCTCAGCTAATTAAGCATCGGACTCTTGATTTCAGCTCAGGTCATGATCTAAGTTTGTGGGTTTGAGCCCGTGTTGGGCTCTGTGCTGATGCTGAGGGGCCCCCTTGGGATTC